AGTTAAAATAGAAGTACATTTTCCGTTCTTTGAGTATTTAAACAAAAATGGTAAATTTCATTAAACAAACATTATACAATACTACTTTCAATTTTTCGTTACGTGAGATGTGAATAGTCCTGCTATTTAAAAATTTAAAAAGGACTATTTACATCTTTGGCTGTTTAATAAAGCAGCGAACTTTCTCTTTAAGGAAAAGCCAATAAAGGGTTATACTTCATTTTTTCGTTATTTTCGGGTGTACCATAATAAAACTATGTTTATCGTATCTGGAATGCCACAGAAAGGTATAATTTTCTATGCAAATTACTTATTTCTACGGCATTACCAAAGGACTGTTATTCCAAATGATCATTATGCAATAAACTGTTATGCCAAACGACCTTATGCCAAATAAATGAATGCCAAATGGGGTGGGAGCCCATTTAGCATGAAGTCATTTGGTATAAGGTCGTTGGCGTAAGGTCGTTTGGCATAGTATTTTTTTATTCAAATAGCCATTTGGCATAATGGTCATTAGGCATAACGGCCATTTGCAATAATCTCCGAAAAACATCAAAACTGGGGGGTCGTTTGGCATAATTGGAATTTAGCCTAATTCAAGATCTACAATTGAAAATGTGTGTTGTTGGTATACGTAGACTCCGATTCACGAGAAAAGGTAGTAAGAAGTTTTGTTTACGAAAGCTTATGGAGCCTTTTCAATTGATGATCTCGAATGGACCTCTCTCAACGTAGTGTTTGAAGCACTTCACCATTTATTTTTTAAGAGAATTCTATGCCTATCAATGCAAGGCACCCATTTGCCAATGGAAGTCAGGGATATTTAAAATCCAAAATTTAAAAACATATTTCCTCCGCAAATAATATCAGAATAATATGCTATTCGATATGACTGTTATGCCTAATGACCATTGTGCAACATGTATGGTAAGGTAAGGGAAGATGGGCCATTCACTTGATTTATTTATTGTTTTGATTGTTAACATCAACAGGCTCAATTTAGCCCCGATGCTGGTTCAAAAAGCAAACCATCATTGAGATTTCATTAAACCCGTTGATTTTGATAGACAAATCAATTGATAAATGTACTAGCAGACCCATCTTGCTCCACCTTACCCTACATAATATTATTCGTTTTTTTTTCTGAGCAATTTATTCCAAATGTCCGGTATGCCAAATGGCAAAAATAAACTTATGGCTTAGGGGCTGTCCATAAACTACGTAGACAGTTTATGGGGGGGGGGGTGACAATTATCCACGGCCCATACAAATTTTAATTTTTTTGTATGGACAATTGTCTACGCAGGGGGAGAGGGGGTCAAGAATCCCAAAAAAACTGTCTACGTAGTTTATGAACAGGCTCTTAATGATGAAGACGGCGTTAGGACAATCGACTTTATGCCAAAGGGGGTATCTTCCTAACGGAGTAAACCCGTTCAGAAGACTGCAAGGGGAAAATCAAAGGACTTTAAGAAAAAATGTTAACGTCCTTTAGAGGACGTTTGCTCGAAAAAATCGGAGGAATTTGAAGGAAAATTTAGATGACTTCTAAGAATTTTAATTTTAAATAAGTACCAAAGAAGATCTGCAAAACATCGACAACGGGATGTTCGCGGAACGTCAAATTAATGTTAATAAGTGTTTATGAAGAAATTTAAAAAAGGAATGTTTAGCAAATAGAATTGGAATCCAAGGGAAGTATTAATTTTTTTAGTGATATGCTAATAGAACATGGGTAAAGGTTTCCCAGTAAAAAAAGCTCTTCTAACTTCTACAATTAATTCAGAGGACTTTGAAGTTTGAAAATTTCATAGGAACATTTTAACGGAAAAAAATCCGGAGAACTTCCAGAGACAAAGGACTTTTAAGAAAACTGCTGAGAATTCTAGAGGATGTTTGGAGAGCTAGTTCCCAGAATATGTCAATATTAATAAATTCTTCTCCATTCAAATGTCGAAGTTATTATTGAACCGATCTGCTTTGCATTATCTATGCAATATATTCTGGAATTAATAGCTGAAGATCTACTTGACCAGCGAAAATTTATACGATATTTTCACTACAGAAAGATATGCATTGTATAGAAATAAATACAATATTAATGAACTTGCCAGGAGTTCATAACATGTAATCTACTAGATCAACATGGATAGGGACGATAGTCTTAGCAGCGATACATGCATAGTTATGTTCACTAGCCTTAAATGCATCATTAAGAATTAATTTCTTACATCATAACATATGACAAAATTATAAAATAATACAAAATTTCCAAACTGTTCAAGAGTTCAGATTGTATGAACTACTAGATCAACCAGGGCTTGCACGATGTCGTCATAATAGCTGCCGCTACTCGCATAACAGTCCCATGTAAATAGGAAATCCATAGGACATTTCCATTTATATCAAATGTTCGAGGTCTTGAAGTTCAGATAAAATGATCTAGTAGATCAACCCCGACTGAGATAATGCACAACCCAAGTAACAATTTTGGTTTTTGAGGGGTTCTGTAGACCATGATTTGGACTTGTCGAATACTATAAAACCTCTATAAAGCTTGCAATGTTACTTGGGAATGGTCCCAAAGCCGTAGTTAGGAAGACAAAAATGTTTGCGCCCAAACCGTCAGTTTTAGGTATATAGTGTCTTCGAGAAAGTTTCTTCATATTTTTTGGCCAATATTTTTATGCAAGTGAAATTAGGGTGGTCCATAAAATTGGGGAATTGAAAATACAAACTTTTTTTGTTATCTGAGATAGACCCATGTAGAACAATCAACTTTGCTGAAGACATCAAATTTCTATCTCTTATGGTTCCTGGGTTATGATTATTTTAAACAAGCAGGTTAGGGTGGCCCCTAAAAAATCGGGTTTCTTTGAATATCTTTTCATACGTATATTTCTTGTAAAAACGTTGTTTAGAACTTTTGACGAGGCATATTTTTGCTGAAGCAATCAAGTAGCTGTCTTTTTTGTTTATAAAGTTCAAGGCGATTTTCTTCGAAAAATTGCTCTTTTCAATAGTCAATATCTCTAAATCGAGCAAACCGATTTTCAAAATTTTGATTCCATTTGAAAGATCGTTTTGTCTTCATTTTTGGTGAGAAAACTGCGAGCGCGTTTTTTGTTTAAAAAATTTAATTTAATTTAATTTAAAAAAGTCATATTTTTCAGCAAAAACTAGCCATACATTTTCAAATAAAAGAGATAACAACTTAGTTGCTATACGTCATAAAAAGTCCTAAAATTATCTAGAACAAAGCTTTTACGAGAAATGAACGTATACAAAGATATTTAAAGAAAGTCGATTTTCTAGGGGCCACCCTAATCTGCTTGTCTAAAATAATCATAACTCATGAACCATAAGAGATAAAAATTTGATGTCTTCTAGAACATTGCATTGGTCTATCTCAAATAATAAAAAAAGTTTGTATTTTCAATTTACCAATTTTATGGATAATAGGGTGATCCATAAAAATATCAGCCAAAAAATATCAAGAAACTTTCCTGAAGACAGCATATACCTCAAAGTGATGGTTTGGGTGCAAATATTGTTGTCTTCCTAAATACGGCTTTGGGACCATTGTGCAATGTGTTTAGCAACGAGTCATGTCGAAGCAGACTCATGGATTCGATGTGCTTCATTTACGATCAATTTCCATTTATATAATATGTTCTTGACTCTCCAAATCGTCCTGAAGTTTTATATCAAATTAAAATCAATGTTCAACTAGGTTGATCTAGATCCGACTTGAACAATACCCTTTGCAAACTTACCAAACAGTGCGAACTTAGACGATTGTCTATCTGACTTCAAGAGTAAGTTAACAAAATAGATCTTAGATGGATATTTTGCCGAAGAAGATCAATGAACTTGCAGAAAAATGTAATAAAACAAATGTTCACAGCACTTTAGGAGGAAGATAAATCAAATTTATGAGGAAAGTTTTTGATCCAGTGAACATAAGGGACAAATTCGAAGCAAAGTTTGCAACTATATATTTTTAGAAAAATCTTCCAGGTGCAGCTGGAAGGGCTTGGAAGATAAGTTTTGAGAGCTCCTAGAGGAAGTTCAATGAACTTATGGCGGAGAAGCTGCCAGAAATAGTTCATAGGAAAAGTAAAGACGAACCAATTTAGGGGGATTTCTAGAGGAAGTTCAATGTCTTTCCAGAGCAGTCTAGAAGAAGTTTGACGGTCTGCCAGGAGAAGTTCGGAGCAAATCTACGAACTGTTTGGAGAACATCTAGGAAAAGTTCTAGGAGCTCCTGCCAGGGAAGTTCGAAGAATCGTCTGGACCAATTCAGATGACTGTTAGGGAAAAATAAGCCAATCTATGAATATCTCCAGGGGACATCTAGCGTACATCCGAAACAAGCCCTCTCCGACTCATATTAGTCAATCTACCACTGAATAGGTGGTACTTATTTAAGATTTTCCGTGTACTCATTATTATTTTTCCTATGTATTGTTGAGAATCAACTGAGCAACTATTGAAGAACAATCTAAATACAATTGATTTTAAACAACAAACTATTTTAATGGATTTCATAATGTCAGAGCATCTTTGTTTGACTTCTACTGGGATAAGTTCAAATACCTTACAGGAGGCTACATTCCAAGGGAAAACTTTGAGGACTACCAGGTGAAATTTCACAAGAACTCCAGGAACAATTTAGTTTCCGGACAGACCTGCGAAAATCATGCCAATGTACATTTTCGAAAACTTCCATGTGAAGATACAAGATCTCGCTAAAAAGTTACAAACACTAGTGAAAATTCGTCTACAGTCGTCCAAAAACAGTTTGTCTAAAGCAAGGTCAAATTTGATCGTGAACCAACTTAGCCGGCGACTGAGCTATTCCAGGCGCCCATGAACAGAACACTCAATCTGGACCAAACCCCGTCGTAGTAGAGAATGTTTGTGTGTGTGTGTGCGTGTGTCGCATTTATAAACAATCGAAACAGAGTAAATAAAACAATAGTCAAAAAAATTACCCTGGGAGTTAGACATGAAGAGATTTAAAAGGGAGGTAGTGCGGCGGGAAGATTTTTGTTGTTGTTGTTGTTGTTGTTGTTGCGATTCTTGTTCCTGTTTCATTTGCGGCTGTTGCTTGTTTTGTGGTGGTTGTTGTTGTAGTTGATGATGCTGATTGTTGTGATTAGTTTTGTTTAGAAAGTCTCCGTAAAAGGATTTACTTGTCTTAGCCGTACTTTGGGCTGAACTGGAAGCGGAAGAATCCCCCGCCGCAGCCGGCGACATTGGCCGATCCGTACTACCCCCGAGGGCATCCAGCAGACTGCTTCGGCCTCCCGAAGTAGGTGGCGAAGTGGAAAGATTCACCGGCGAATTGGTCGGCACGGCCGCACTGGAACTGGACGTGAACCAACTCCTCAGGTTGCTTTCCTTCTTGGCGATCGGAACCGGTTGCGTCGAGCTGGCTGTTGACAGCGCCGGTGAATCCATCACCGAGCCTTCTCCCGGCGTCGTTACCGATCCTCCCGAGGTGGCATTCGGAACCGACGTGTTGATAAGCGGCTGGCTATTGGTGGACGCTGCAGCTGCAGTCGTTGTTGTTAATGAACGACTGCCCAACTTCACCAAATCAAGCTCTATAAACTCTGCACGGTCGCATGAATGGTAATACATAGGAAGAGACGAAAATCAAAAACCAAAACGAAAACACAAACAACTTACGCACTAGTTAGATGTATAGGCATGCGATTTCTTTCCTCTCTTGCCTCCTAATTGGCTTACATTTGCAGACGAAACGGAAAATGAATACGCATCATGAAATTTAACCAAAAAAAGCTACCTCCTATGGAAAACGAAACGCATTTTGAGCGATCCCAAAGTGGTGAATTTACATTTATGCAGAAAAATCTATCATCGCAAATCAAAGGAAGCAAAATCGGAATCATTCAGTTTAAAAGCTAAAAACCAAATACAAAAATCTGCTTTAGACACAAAACGGAACAGAAAAATCAAACATCACTTAATCTTGACGAAAGATAAAAAACGATCTAAAAATCAAAAACAAAATCGACACAAACAAATCATTCGCTTAATTCACACACGTGTCTTATTGTCATCTCGGCTGAACATGAATGAATGCACTCCTGCGCTGTTTTGTTTCTGTAGCTGTCTGTAGTAGTGGTGACTCGATGTGGACGAAACCAACGAGCCAACAACGCACTTACCTGGCTTCTCCAGTCCGGTGTACTTGTTGAGAACGAACTGTTCCAGCAGCTTGTCCACGGTCAGTTCCAGGAATTGTCGCTTCAGATCGGAGTGGACCTTTGTCGGTGTATCGGAAATGGGAAAGAAGCTATTAGTATTTGAAAGCGAGGGCCACCTTTGGTTGATGAACCTACCTGTCCAACTAGGTCAAAGTTGTTCTGCACGATTTCCATGTAGGACGTGAGGAATTCCTTCATCTGTTTCAGGTGCGCTTCCTCGATATCCTGAAAGCGCTGTGCATGGAACGAGATTGGAAAACATGTGTAAATCATCACGCTCTATTTATTTTCTATTGGAGCAACCCTTTCGGCTCTAAACCGAAAGCGTCTGTTTTGGAAGAAAAGACACGATTGGAATGTGAATAATTCAACATTCAGTCATGTTTCACCGATTCCATATTGCCACTTTACGAAAACATCTGTAGGTCGATAGGGAGTGTTTCTAAAATGTCCGAGCAAGGCAAGGGGAACGGGTAATTGCTTCTCCGCAATTTCCATCCATCTTTTTCTGATTTCAATCAACCACCCAGTGCCCTCCCACACAAATCACCACCGCCTGATCAATTTCTTGTTGAATGAATTAAATGAACGAACCAGAGGAGCCCTATCAACTGGTGGAAATTGAATCGTCGTCGGCAGTCAATCACAGGATGCGTTTTTGCAATCGCCCTCTTCAGATTGTCAACGTACCTTGCAAGTTATTGTCATCTTCTTTTCGAACTCCTGCTTGATGATGTTGTGCTTCTCCACCAGGGCCTTGTAGTCGTCCTGCTGCTTGCGCAGTTTGGCTTCGGACTTTTCAATTTCCTTCGCCGAGTTGTCCTTGCGGGCCTTCTCCATCTCCTGTTGGCGCGTGTTGTAGACATCCTTTGCCTTTGCGACCGCCGCCGTCGATTCTTTCATTGCCTGTGGGAGAAAAGCGTAGGAAGGTTGGGGTAATTCATCGTAATGATTCAGGGTTTTTTTTTGCGTTTTCAATTATTAAGGTTCATTTAAGATAGGGGAAATGGATGTAATGTCTGCCTAAATGCCCCTAATTTGGGCCCATAGTTAAATTCATGAATCGACTAAATTTTCAATAGCGACCAAAAATATCCATTAGTACCGTCCCAATGACGCGTTCATCTAGATAAAATTGATAAATAGCAGATTTTTAGCGATAGGCCCAATCTTAGATCCGTAGGCCAACATTAGAGCCATTTCCCCTATATTCAATATTCTGTAATGTAATAGACCTCAGCTGGTTTCATTCACATTACAAATATTGGACCATCGCTCTTCTGCTCAGTAAGCAAAAAAGTTTGCTTCTAGGCCACCAAAATCCTTATATTACATCACAAAAAAAAAGTTAGTCCATTTGAATTGATTTGTTAATTCATGTGGACGTGATTAGAACTGAAACAACTGAAAGCACTCCTTTACTATGAAAGATGTTCTACTCATTAAGCAAAAATAGTCATCACTAGGCCACCGAGCCCCTCTTATCACTGCAAAGTACTTGAGGTATCTCTCGATTATACGCCCCCATCGAATATACATACTCTCGATATTACGTAATTCGATTTCACGCAAATTTTACAACATACATTGTTAAATGATGATGTTTTCCTCTAGACTTCACCCATTCTAACGCTACTAGGGCTTGCACCGATCAGAGCTGCTGTCTAAGAAATAAGTAACCAAATAGTGACTTATACAGTAATGTTCTACGAATCTCATCTTTTTTCAGTGGTCTTATAGCACCAAAATATACCTTAAACATCCAACTTGAAGATGAACGAGAAATATTTGAAACAACGGTTAAGTGAAATTATTTAAAAAATAAAAGTCTGATGCCGAAAAAATCGGGTCATTACTGTAGTTGTAAAAAAAAACTTAACTAAAAAGTAACCTAAAAGAAGAAAGGTAGTCGTCCTGATGGCACACCAAATAAATGTTTGATGCTCTTCTGTACGATATGAATTATTATTATTATTTAGCTTTATTAAGGAGGCTTTCAGCCTTAGGCTGGTTCGCCTCCAAAACTGTACGATATGAACTATTAAAACGAAAGATTAGATATGGCGTTTATGACCCAACCCACTATACTATTTGAAAAAAAAAAAAACAAGGAAAACCGGAAATCCTCAGGGAATTTTATTTTTGCGGAAAATACCTGGAAGTCTCAGTGAATCTCATAATTACTCGGGGGATGTAATAATATTTTTTAACTTAGGATATTTTAAAGAAAATAATGCATTTAAAATACAAGCATATAATTTTCCTAGATATTTGCATTCACACATCCAACTTTGGTTCTGGACAAATTCCAATGGCATACGGAGGATAATTTCATGAAGTTAGTGGTAGAAAACGAATTCGAAGTCTTTGAATTTTTGACAATGCTAGGATTACATTTAAATCTGAGAAAAACTCCAGGAGATCTTCAAAGGAATTTGGAAAAGAATTCCAGGAGGGTTAGGCAAACAAATTATGGGGAGATATCTAAGGACTATCTATCTATGAAGAGAAATGCAAATGAATTCTTGGGAGACATTCAATGTGAGTAGAATTTCAAGGATTCGAAAGGAAATCTGAAATGAATTCAATGAAAATTCGGAGAACCTTTAAAAAGGATTTTTTACTGAGGAAAATTTCAAGGTTAAAAGTTTTTGATCTAATTTCTGTCCTACTAAGCGCAACCCGCGCTTTACCTCTCTTATCTGAACGAGTTCAAACAAAAAATGGAATATTTCTGTCAAAGATGAAAAATTTATTCACCTTTCCATACGTACCGTTGGATTTGATAAAGAGTCAGAAATTGTTGAAATATTGTTTAAAATCTAATACTGCTTCTTGATTCTAAATTCATTCTACGAGTTTCAATTCCGTCCAGACGCATTGAAACGCCGTTAGATTTTCTTCGTTCTACGTAGAAAAAGGGGATTCACTAGAAGCGCTTCTTTTGTTTTGAGAACAATGAGCGTAAATATTCATACAATGCGAAATAGGCGATTACGACGAAGTAGCGCTCGACTCTAAGGAGGATAGTTCCAACCAAATGTTGAGGAATATTTCAATGGAATTGCGAGAAGTATTCTAATTATATTCTGGTGTTAATTTTTAAAAAATACTGAGAAGCATTCCAAGTAAAATTCTATAATAATTCCATCATAGTTTCGGGAGAATACAAAGCGAATGCTGAGGAGAACTCCAATTGATTTGTTATGAGAAAACTCCGTTGAATATGGAATGTACTATTCTGAGGTCTTCAGAACTACTTCAAAGTTTCCAAAATTTTCCTGAAGTTAAGTTCTTTTGTAGATTTAGACACTAGCCTGATGCTCACAATACCTATCATATTTTTTTTAAACTTTTCTGAACTTTTTCAGACTTGCTAAAGTTTCCTCAATTTACCTAACGATCATGGATCTTCTTTAAAGTTTTAAAAATTCTCTGAGTTCACGAAACTTTTTTAAAATCTATGTAATTTATCTAGCTGTTTTGAGGTCACTGTCCTTTCCTGGAGTTTTCGAAACTTCTCTTAAGTTTTTGCAATTCTCATGAAGCTTGTTGTACTGCCCTGAATTTAATTGAACTGAGCTTGAGCTTGAGCTTGATTGACCGCCCACGGTTGCTACTCTGTTACTGCCAGATCAGCTGTAATTACACAGAGAACCAATAGACGATGCTTGGGACTAGCAATCATCCTCAATGTGTAAAAACTGGTGATCTTAAATTAGGCAATACCAGCGCCGGCCGCGCCCGAACACAGGTCAAGAAAGGAATGGGAAGGATTGTGTTGACATGACACTCGCTTTGATGGAAGCCGAGAACACCTCTGCACTTCCACGAGGAATCACTGGGATGTTGGATAAGAGGGTTGGGTTTGCAGCAGGGTTCGTTTTGGTAAACGATAAGCTGAATTGATGTCCTAACGATCATATAACGCGAAGGAGCTTGGGACTAAACCCACGGTCTTCTGCTCAGTAAGCAAAAACGTTTTCCACTAGGCAGACGAGCACCTTTTTAATCACCGAGTTGCTGTTATTACCATGTAGTCATATTAGCAAATAAAACGATTGACGAATCTTGAATGTGGATGGGCCTGAGATTAGACTCATGATGTTCTGCTTAGTAAGCAAAAACGGTTGCTCTAAGGCAACCGAGCCCCTCATATCACATAATACCGTTGCTCAAATTTTTGCATCCATTCAAAACCGGAACCAACGACAACAACGAGTTTCGCAAAATACACGATACACAAGCGATTTTACAATAAATCTCTTTGATATGTAAGGACCTGGGACCGCGTTTTTCTGCTCAGTAAGCAGGCCACTGTAACCGACGATCTTTCAAATCCGAAAACTAAAAACTACGAAAAAGTACTTAGGCCTTCATTAAGTTCCACTTTCACGCGACGTTCAATGTTTCAATTGGCTCTTTACGTATTGTTCAGGCTATAAATAGGCTCTTTTCAAAAGTTACGCGAGAAATACGCACAATCGTCGCCTACCTCGCAAAACTGGTTCTAAACGACAACAAAGGCATAAGCAACGATGGATTGTTGAACTTTGCTGGCTGGTGTAGTGCTGCTGAAAAAAGATAAGTCTATTATTTTGGTTAGTGATCGTTTGGATTTGGGTCACCCCACGTTGTGTTTAGGTTAGTATAAATAAATAATACTATTTAGTCATATAAATCACCACAGCTCATTATCTTCAGCGTTATCGGTTTTCGTTTCTGGATCTTTAGTTGCCTCTGTGATATACTTACTTGCGGCATACTATTTTGGGAGTGTATATGAGCGTGTACCATGTACGGTAGCTCATCTCTCATCGTGATGGTGGGACATAGTAGACAAATTAGAGAGAAAACAAGGAGGTATTAGTATTAGTTATATGTAAACAAACAAAACAAAAGAAGAGAAGAGGAAAGAAGAACAGACAAATAAAAAAGGGATGAAGTAGATAACAAATAAAAGAAACGTAGGCAGATTATTAGAAAAGGCATTATCCGAGACTCGGCAATCAAATGTCACTCCCGCCGAGATCTCAGCGAAACCTCCTCCCCGCCGAGACCCACACAGCCGAGCTCGGTAGAAAAAACTAAGTGTGTAGATAGATTAGTAGGAAAATAAATAAAACTACTTTATGACTCAAAGTGCAATGAATGAGCGTTAGTTTCGGGCTCATTTCAGTGTTAGAGTTATGTTAGTTTTGATCCGTAATCAGCCCTGCTGACCCCTCCAACATTAGTTGCAGGCAGTGGTAGTTAGATAATGCGGCACTGTAACTACTACTATTTTAGAAGTTGAGGTTACTAGTGTATTAAATAATCCAGGGTCTATTTAGGATTATATCTGAAAAATCCAAATCTCGCCAACGCCCACCCTAAACCTAAACCTGTTCTAATCCACCTGAAATGACTAACGAATGGAAGACTTTGACTACCCAGCCATGCAATAGTCTCATTCCGTGCCTTATGGCAACTTGATGATTCTATTGCGGTCATCTTTTGGCACCACCCAGGGGAGACTTGGTCCTGTACCCAATGCTTAACTTATCTCCATTCCACTCAGCTACTCGCAATTTCTTGTGATATAGTGGGCGAAATATTATTATATGAGACAATTCAATGCAGACGTCTTTCCAAATATGGCAGATCGACAGGTAATCGGTGAGTTACCACGATAGTTGCTATTCAACAACTCGACAACGTCCCATCGTCAACGCCTGCTATGAGAATTTCCCATTGCAGACGCCAACGAAATGACGTCATCGAGCTATCGATCAACTACCCTGGTTATCGCCTGGTACCTTATAGCACAATGCTAGGAGGCGAACCGGAAGAATTGATGAGCTACCTCTTCTACTGCCCTGAATTTAATTGAACTATCGTTAAACTGTTTAAGCTTCCATGAACGT